TAATCCTCAGAATATCGGCAAGAAAAACAGTGTCTCCTCCTTGGGCCTACTAGGCTCACCATCTGCCTGTTGCAGTAGAGTGCAGCCAATGTGATCAAAGGGCTTGTAGTACCTTCTGAATGAAGAAGAAAAAAAGATGACAGGGCTGGACAGAGCTGTATAACATCATGAATGGTACAGAAAAGACTGGGCAGAGATTTTCTCCCCCTCTTCCATAGCACATAATGCTAGATTAGAGGTGGACACACAAAGCATTCAAAACAAAACAGAACCCCAGACTGCTAGCACTCTGCTCCACTCCCACTTTCTTCCCAACCAGGGTGGCCTTGCTGTCTTCCTGCCCCTCAGAGCTGCCACCTCACGTGGGGCTGGGCCTTGGCAGAGACCGCCTTTCCTCCTCCTCGCTCACTCTCTAGCAGCTGCTACAAGGTGCCCAAGGGACAAGGCCGGCAGTGGCAGCCATGAAGAAGCAATGGGATGCTTCCTCACAGCCGCCGATGCCGTCATTGCCATCATTTGCGACAAGCGCCGGCTCATCTTCCTCTCCGAACTCGGCGGTGGCACTGGCAGGGGAAATAGGGACATTCTGAGATCATGAGACAGCTTTCATAATTCCGGGACTGTCCTTGGAAAATCGGGATCCCTGGTCTCAAATGTGGTCCTCTCACATTTGAGACAAGCCTTTTTTTCCTATTTGTAAATCACTTTTACCATTCCTGAAACTCAGCTTACTCCTACATCTCAAAATGCGACACAGGAATGGGTTAAATTGGTGTAGTTCTGAGAAAGTGATGCCAAGCAGCTCCATGATTCTCAGGCACATCCACACCCGAAAACTAAATTGGTTTCGTAATTATTTCCTCTTCCTAAGTGATCCTGGGAATTGAAGGTCTGTGAGGCATGGTAGGAACCTTAACAGAAAATTCACAGCACCCTCCACCCACCAAAATATCATTTCCAGAATTCTTTGGGTGAGCTATGATAGTTACGACAATATAAAATTTGATAAAAGCTTGTCGTATGGATCTGTTCATTGCCTATATTACAGGTGGGGCACCTGTCGCCCTCCAGAAATTCAGCGGCAGCTTCCACCATCCCTGACCATTGTTCATGTTGTCTGGGGTGATGGGAACTGTAGTTCAACAACATCTGGGGCGCCATAGGTTTCTCACCCCTTGAAGAAGATCCGGTGCCTTTGCCAGCCAATGCAATTGAACTCCCCTTCCTAATCTCACTCTGCAACCCAACAACCTCAGCCTGGTCCAGAGGGTTCCCCAACTCCCTGGAGCATATTTTGGGAGCACAAGGGGAAGAGTAAATACCATTTGCTCATGCAAATGTCTATTGTACAAGCAGGTTGCCACAAATGGGATGCCTTTCTTTCTCAGAATTCTAAGCAGCACAGAAGGAGTGATCCTAAAGGAAGTCATCCCTTTGCAGCATCACTTTGGGCAATGAGTCAGGTTGCTGTTTTCTGAATTTTTTTTGTTAATTGCTTGCCCTTTGTTTTTCACTGTTGATTGAATCTGTTGAAAACTGCCCAGGAAATTATTTGATTTGGGTCTAAATCTTTAAACTAATTCTAAGTCCTTATAAACCACAAGCATTAGATAACAGGAATAGCTTGGTAGGAACCCACCAATGAAAAAACCCAGAATGCCGGGATTGGCCCTTAAACTATTACAATCATCTGTCATCTGTTTGTCAGTTCCTGTAAATAAAAATGCGCCACCCCTTTCCAAAAGGTCCCCTCCAGCCTTGAATTTAAAGTCTCAAATGTCTCGTTTTCAACTTTTCTGAAAATGTTTCTCAGAAAGTTTGCCAAAAGGGGTCAGCTCTCTGTTTAACCAGCAGCTTAATTTTTCTTGTGCATCCAGACATGAGCTAGCTGGCCAGCTGGAAACCTCTGCAATTAATAAAAATATTAACAGCTCTGTAAAAGGCTAGGAGGAAGCCAATTAGCTACCATGCTGGTTAGTGGAGAAGGAGAGGGATGGAACTTTAGAATAACAAATATTTTTGCCAAATATTACCAGCTCCTTCACATCTCCTGTACGGAATGCCCCATCTTCTATATTCTTTGAGGCTGCACTTTTTAGTCTATTTATTGGTTCATTGAATGTACCTTTCCCGGGGCGTGGGGGGAGAGAGGCAAGGAACAATATTATTTAGCAATTATGTAGTGCAACACATTTCATACACATTATCCCTAGAACAACTATAACTATTTGCCTATTATAAGGCTGCTAAAAAGTGGGTTGCCCAAGGCCACTCAGTGAGTGCAGGGCTGAGATATTATCAGTAGACTTCTAGCTCATTGTGGCTCGTACTCTTGGCTTCTATGCTACTTCAGCTGCTGGTATGAATGTGGACACTCTCCAAGGAGTGAGGACAACACACACAGTAAGCGATTTGCTAGCCATGTGGAGCCCCACATGCAGAAACATTCTGATCACTTCCATAATGGGGTTGAAACACTTTTCTCAGTCCTTGTGCTCTGTAGGTGGCCACCACTAGAAGCCAGCATTGCACAGTGCTGACACCTCGTGGTTGCTGGTGGGAAGTTAGATATGAAACACTGCCCAGATAACAATTTAACAAGAGACGTATTATACTGTGATGGTTTCATGGGGGGAGGGGGGGACAGTTTCTAGTGGTATGGACTTTGAGATCCCAATTTAAGATTTATTTTCCACACAAGTTAGGATCTCATTGGTTAGAATGGCAAGCTGAAGCAGGTCGAATGAATGAAGATATTTTTAAAATCTAGCCAAGTGGGCCTTTTAACCTTTAAAAACAAAACAAAACAACCTTTATAATATTATCAGGCTTTTTTTCCAGCTGGAACTCACAGAAACTCAGTTCTGGCACCTCTCAAGTGGGTGCCATTACCATTATCAGAGAACAGGGGTGTATTTCTAGAAAAATAGCACTTCTTAAAATTATTAATTAATTGAAACATGAAATTTATTATGTTCAGAGACCAGCTTGAAATTAATTAATTAATGTTGCATATTGCCCTTCATCCATAGATCTCAGGGTGGTTCACAACATAAAAATACAAGATAAAAAAACACACACAAAATACATAATAAAAACTAGAACAGAAACACAGCTAACAGAACCAAATTGTTAATAACAGCATCAACAAAAGCACATCTCCACCAAACACAAACAAATGAGAAGAGGTTGATACTTATTTTTCACAGGGGGCAAAATGTATTTACCTCAGATAGCATGCCTGTTGAAGGCAAATGAGATTTCCCAGCATTCTTCTCACATTACTTTGCAGCTAGGAAATGCTGTTTCTCGCCAGAGTTAGCATCCTGGGTGCTCTGTGGGGTGGGTCAGGGTAGATGTCGCAGACACCTATTTGCCAGTGTATGTGACATCACTGCCAACGAGGGACACAACTTCCTGCACTGGTACCATTTTGTAATATTTAAAGACGTTTACTTCTTTGCTTCTTTAGGAACTGAGCAATTTCCCATAATGCGGGGGGGGGCGGACTTTTCACTGGTGCTGTCCCATTTATAGAACATCTTACTCAGACAAGGGAGGGGATGCACCAGTTTTCAACCAGAATCAAGATTTCTTGATTCTCTGAGTCTTTTAGTGGTTGGTTTTAATGCTGTGCTTACTGAATTCTGCTTCAACAATTTTTAATAAAAATAACTTAATCTTAGTTTGCATTTTATTACTGCTGATTATTTGTCTGGACTTTTACGACCATCTTGATGCTTGTTCCAAGCCATTTTAGTAGAAAAGTGACAAAGAACATTTTCAACTGAATAAATAACAGGTTTGCATACACATATTTGTCATGCATACAGTTTTATGCTGGGCTTGGAAAGAAAGTAGCCAGTTGGGAGTTATACTGGATTGCTTTTCTAAATATTATTTACTTATTTACATTTGTGAGATGGTAACTGGCCCAACGTCACCCTGTGAGCTTCATGGCTGAGTGGGGATTCAAACCCTGCTGTCCCAGGTCCTAGTCCAGAACTCTAACTATTACGCCACACTGGCTCTGTGGGAGTCAGCTGAGTCAGAAAAAAGCACTGTGCCTGTTATGTACTGAAGTTCTCACCCTGGGACAGCAGGGGGATACTGTAGATAGTTATGCAGATGAAGGATCGAAAGTGACGTTCAGTGATTGGATAGTTTTAGAAAGTTGCTACAGTAACATTGTACTGGAGCTCTATATAAGCAGGCTGACTGAGCCCTTCAGCTCAGTTCTGTTCTGGCCTCTGAATAAAGAAGAGCTGTTTGAAGAATCGCTGTGTCGTCTGATATGTTCACCCACAACTTAACAGTTCCAAGGAGTAGAGTAGGCACAAGATGACCCAAGTGAAGGCCTATCAAATCCAGCATCCTTTTCCTCCCAGAAGCCCAGAAGCAAGAAGCGAGGGCAGTGGCTCTTTCCTGCTGTACTTTCCGTGCTCTGAAAGCCTGTTGAGATATTTGCTAAACCTGTGCTGCTGGAAAACTGATAGAGAACCAGAAAGATTGTGTTACTTCATAACAGTCATGGCAGGCTTCAGCTTCTATTGACTTCTGGAGTGCTGGGCTAGGTTTGCCCTCAGCCTGGCCACTTCACATGTTCTGTTGGTGTTATGTACTGAGTTGAATAGGATCCAAAATACAGCAGTCTGATTGGTCCTAGAACAATAGGATCCAAAATGCAGCAGTCTGATTGGTCCTAGAACAATGCAGCAGTATGATTGGTCTGCAGGAGCCACCCAATCCAGCTCCAGATGGAAGTGAATCCACAACCTGATTGGCCTACAGGAGAATTCCGGACTTAGCCAATCACGTGCAGCCCATTGTGTAAATAATATATATAAAGCAGATGCTTTGGGGGAACTTTCATTCCTCCTCACCACTATGAGCTGAATAAAGAGCATGACATCCACTCTCGACTCTGAGTATATTCCACTGGTGACGAAGGTGGGCCGTGAAAAGGGCCGTTCTATGCCCTTTGACACTGGCCCAGCAAGATGCCTTCCAGACTGAGGAAGACCAAGAAACCGAGGGGTCGTGTTAGCCATGGCCACGGCCGTATCGGCAAACACAGGAAGCATCCCAGAGGCCGTGGTAATGCTGGGGGTTTGCACCACCACAGAATTAATTTTGACAAATATCACCCTGGTTATTTTGGGAAACTTGGTCTGAGGCGTTACCACTTGAAGAAAAACCAGCACTTCTGTCCGACAGTGAATCTGGATAAACTCTGGACACTTGTTAGTGAGCAGACAAGACTCAAAATTCTTCAGCAAGAAAGGCAGAAGAGAAAATCAAAGACGTTGGTGGTGCCTGTGTGTTAGTGGCATAAAGGATTTTCTATGTATCCAGGTTTCAATAAACACAATTTCAGCTGTGTATTCCTAAAAAAGGGGCCACCTTATTAGCTAGTGGTTTGAGGAGTGGGGCCATGTGGCAAAGAGATGGGACTATCCTCCCAGCTCGTACTGAAATGGGGAATGAGGGGGTGTGACGCTCCCTGCCTGTCATCCTACCAACTAGGAGGGAAAGGTGGCTTGTGAAGCTTAGCTTCCTGTAAGGACGTCAGCTGCTTTCATCTTATTATTTCCTCCTGCCTTCCCTCATGACAATGTGAGTTTAATTTTCTTTCTGAAGATGATGGATCTGTTGTTTTCACCCTATTCTCCCCTTCTTTCCGGATGGATTTATTGCCTGTTGTGAGCGGCTATTGATATAGTTTGCCGAGGTTTTTAAGCTACTTTGAAAACACAAATTAAAATGAATAGAAAGTGTCTGGCAAGCCCAGAGGGTAGAGTCTTTGTAGCTGAGTCTTTTTTTAAAAAAAAAACCAACCCAAAACATTTCTCTGCCAAGCTGCATCTTGGAGCTCAGCAGCATCCCAGGAGAGCCAGTGATCTAGGATGAAAGCCAGTTTCAGACAAAATCTTTGCATTCATTAACCTGGACCTGAGCCAGAAACCCACCGTCCAGAGATCCCAAGCCCAGAAGTCACATGTTAACAGAGACATAGGAAGCATGGTGAGTGGGGAATTGCTTTCCCCCTCCTGTGTCTTTTTGGTACAAGTGTGCAATCCTGCACGCACAGTTTCAGAGCGCGTTCATTACACATGGAAGAGCCCAGGTTGACTTAGAGGTATCAGGTGATGAGCAAGAGTTTTTGAAGAGACCCCAGGGATCCCCCTCCAATCAGAATAGAGAGTGTTGGACTACATGGACAGACAGGCAACCATATATGGGCCTTTCCTTCCAACTCTACAATTCTGTGATTCTTTGAAACACACACACTTTTTCTGCAAAGCAGTCTCCCTTAAAATATTGAATTTTTGTATGTTATTTTCACTCTGTGCATTTTTATGCACACACCACCCTGGTAAATGCATCTTTTGTGCATGTTACTTGGTTGGAGAACCACATTGCAAACTTTGGTGAATTTCAAAGGAGGGCTGTATTCCAGTTTGCATATTGTTTGGAAAGTGTAAATTAGGAAGCTTTGGCTTTAAATGTGAACTGAATCAAATTTCTACCCCAGGCAGTTTTGATATGTAACAGAAATATGCATATATATATATATATATTAAAAAAGAAAATGGTTAAATCTTGAAAGTAATTAAAACGACTGCTAAATCTAAGTTGCAGGAAATGATGCACAAAGTGTGAGATTTATGGCTTGGCTGAGCAGAGAATACAACATTGTATAATTAGGGAGAAGGAATGTTATTTTCCGTTTAATGTTAAAACTGTAGAAAGAAAAATCAGTCCTTTCTACACATTAATTTGTGGAATTTGCTGTCACAAGATGTGATGGCCACTAGGTTTAGATAGTTTTAAAAGAGGATTACAGTGGTACCTCGGGTTACATATGCTTCAGGTTACATATGCTTCAGGTTACAGACTCTGCTAACCCAGAAATAGTGCTTCAGGTTAAGAACTTTGCTTCAGGATAAGAACAGAAATCGTGCTCCGGCGGTGTGGTGGGAACTGAAGGCCCCATTAGCTAAAGTGGTGCTTCAGGTTAAGAACAGTTTCAGGTTAAGAACGGACCTCTGGAACGAATTAAGTACTTAACCCGAGGTACCACTGTATATAAACTAATGGAGGATAATTCTGCCAGCGACAACTATATGCTACCTCCAGGTCAGAAGCAGCACGCCTCTGAATAACAGGTGTTGGGGAAGAACAAACTGCAGGGGAGAGCTATTGACTTCATGCCCTGCTTGTGAGCTTCCCAAAGACATATTTGTGTCCAAGTGTCCCTGTTTTCCAGGGACAATCCCTAATTTGCAGAAGCCGTCCCGGTTTCTGATTGGATCCTGGAATGTCCTGCTTTTCCTTAGGACGTCCTATTTTCATCAGAGAAATGTTAGAGCTATGTGAACCCCCCCCCCCACCCAGAGGATAAGGAGATACAACCTTTTGAAGACAACTGAAGGCAGCCCTGTATAGTTTTTATTATGTTTTTATATATGTTGGAAGCCACCCAGAGTGACTGGGGCAACCCAGTCAGGTGGGTGGGGAATAAATAAATGATGGTGATTATGGAATAGGGCACCCCTAGTTTCATCAGAGAAATGTTGGAGGGTATGATATCGTGGGTCACTGGTGCAAACAAGATGATAGATTAGATGGACTACCAGGCTGTACTGTGTTAGTTTGTTATTATTGATTTCGTATTTTGTGCATTTGACTTCCTGCAAAGTCAGTAGCTAGAGATCCCTTTGAAAACAGTTCCTAGCCTGGTTGCTGTTGCTTGAAGCAAACGTGTCTTCATGGGCTTAATAAGCAGCACATCACCCATCATCCATTCCACTTTATTACCGTAATGCCACATATAATTGTGGTTTCAGATTGGCTTTGGCACTACCGTGAAACAGAGTGGCTGCTCTTTTCATAGTATGGTTACAGCCAAAGGCTACCCAGTGGCTGTTGCTCAGAAAGAATGTTGTAATTTAAGCGGGCATGATACCTAATTAAACCACAGCACGGGAGCTGCATGGTGAGGTTTTTGACAATAAAGTGAGTTGTTCTGCTATTGCACTGGGGGTCAAAACAGACAGATCTGCGCAAGGCGGTTCTGATAGTATAAGCAAGTATTATCCCACCACTCTGCCTGCTTGCAAGGCTGCATGCCTAAACAAAAAGAACAGAAACAGCACCATATTGCAGCAGGGTTGCCAGGGCAGTTGTCCTGAATTTATTCTACACTGCCTTCCTCAAAAGACTGGTTACCCTTCACCTGCATCAGGCAGAAAGGAGAAAAGGAGGGGCCTTGAAGTTGTCCATCAATAGTTAGTACCCGGACAGGAGGACGAGCAGACAGTCTTCCCCACTATGGTGAGGTGTATTTCTAATTAAATTCTAGTGTGTTTTCCTATATTGGCATCTATGCGCATAAATTAGCACATGTAAATTATTTGCAAATCTGTGCTGCACCTTAGTAGCCACACTAGAAATTGTTGAGATTAATCAGACCTCTATGGACAAGGTTCATCCCTCAAAGGAATGCTTCTCATTCATTTCATTTTAAAAGCCCTGTACAATTTCATAGTGTCATAGAATTGTAGCATTGGAAGGGACCCTGCGGATCCACTAGTCCAACCCCCTACAATGCAGGAATCTCAGCTAAGGCATCTCTGGCAGATGGCCACCCAATCTCCCCTTAAGAACCTCCAATGAAGGAGAGTCCACCACCTTCCATCCATTGCATTCCCCTCTGTCATTTGCTTCCCTGCATTCATGGCTGGCTTACCACATATCAGGTTAATGGCTGAGTGTTTAGGAAACATTGCTTTCTTAGAGCATTGCTGCACCATTCCTTATTACCACTCAGCATATAAGCAACTGTAAAGGTAAAGGGACCCCTGACCATTAGGTCCAGTCATGTCTGACTCTGGGGTTGTGGCGCTCATCTCGCTTTATTGGCCGAAGGAGCCGGCGTACAGCTTCCGGGTCATGTGGCCAGCAGGACTAAGCCGCTTCTGGCAACCAGAGCAGCACATGGAAACACCGTTTACCTTCCCGCCGGAGCAGTACCTATTTATCTACTTGCACTTTGACTTGCTTTCGAACTGCTAGGTTGGCAGGAGCAGGGACCGAGCAACGGGAGCTCACCCTGTCGCGGGGATTCGAACCGCTGACCTTCTGATCGGCAAGTCCTAGACTCTGTGGTTTAACCCACAGCGCCACTCGCGTCCCATAAGCAACTGTAGATACCTACAAATGCCCATCTTTTAAGTGGTGATCCTTCTATGGAGTTACTCTGGTTTGTTTTAGACAAATGATCTTCAGGATCAGGTTCGAATGAAACTGGATCAGTGTGTTGACAACAAAAGCTGACTGTGCACCGTGAGGATTGGCTGGAAACTGATGACATCACAAACTCCCCTCCTCCCCAAAGCAATGTTTCCGTGTTATAACAAAACTGATTCTGCTTCCCTTTAAAGGGACACTGAATCAAATAATCGCACATGTAGCCTGCCCTTTCAAAATAATAAGGTGGATAGCCCAACTGAAACAAGGTGGGAAGGGGCAGCTTATCTACAAACCCAGCTCGTTTCTTTTCTTTTTAGCCTTCTTTTGATTTGTTGGCTAGTGCATATGTTGGCAGGGGCGGGGGGGGGGCGGAATGGCAGCTCATATTGATTTGTATGGAAGTTTGTGCATGCAGTGTGCACCTTTCTTACAAAAAAATGAAGAAGAAAAATGAGGAAGAACAGATGCCAACAAGACCCAGATAACCTGTCTGCTACCTGAGCTGAGTAAACAAGGATTAAAACGAGGGGCGGATGTTGATACAGAGCCACAAATGTACTGACTCTCCCGTCAAGTCTCCCCACCCTCTTTGCCTCCTTTGATTCTCTCTTCCTTGCAGTCCATCTGATGCCACCCAAACCCACTGTTTGTTTTCCCATTTGTGCCGGGGCAGGAAGCTGAGTTGCCAGACAATGGGCAGACTCGCTGATGACTGCAAAAGAAAGGCAAAAAGATTTGCTGCTGTGGGTGGGTTGGCCCAAGGGGCATGTGCTCATTGCTTTAGAAGCTGCCGTCATTGTCCTGACTTTTCAACAGCCATGAAAACAAGTACAGGCAAAGAAGGGGGGGGGGAGGTTGTTCCAGTTTATTATGGACAGGAGCAAGAGGAGTGGGAGGGGGGCAACAGAACAAAACAAAGGCACCCAGACCTTCTGTGATGTTCTGAATCTAAGATTTCCTTAGATCCATCCTCGGTTGATAGGTAGTTTATATATATTCTAACCTAGGCAGAGAATGAGCCTTATTAGG